GCTAGAGCGCACGCCCGTTGATTGAGAGAAAATTAAGGCTTGATTGAGGATTTTAATTCCTAAAACACATGAGAATAATAACTTGATGCGGAAGCTATATGGTTTGACTCATGGGGGGGTTTTTATGATTTAGCAACCTTAAATTGTAAATTCATAAACAACTACATAACTTAATGATTTAATTCATAGTTAATTGCGCTATTGGAAGATAGGTAATTAAATGGAATGAAAATAGCTAGCAATACATCGGAAGAGCTTGTTAGTGAATTCAGAGTTGTTTCCCCTACTTGAATAATTAAATTGATTAATGAACTAATGAAATAAATTTGGATAGAATTAAGTGAAATAAACCCCTAGCAGTTTTTACTTCCTTGATTTTTTAATCAGTAATTATTTGCTTAACTTCTTATTTTACTTTTGGAATTTAATTTCTTACAAACAATTTCCTCATTTATCGTTTAAATAATAACAAGATAACATAATTTTGGTACTTGGATTACAATTCTCGTGGGAATGATATCTTACTCATCATATGTTACTTGTAGCGATTTCGTACACTTGCGAAAATCACTATCACTTAGAAAATAATAGTCTGTTATTTTAAATTAACTAGTCATATTTCCGTACGTTGTGCATATTTAATGTATATAAATTATTTACTGTAAATAGTGCTTTTTTATTTTTTATATTTAAAATTATTTAAATTTTATCTTATTTGTTATTTATTATGTTTTGTCTACAAATAACTATATCAATTTGCTTAATAATATAATATTTATTAATAAATTAAAAAAGGATTTATAAGAGATGATTAAAATGAATAATGAAAAAAAAACATATAGAAAAAAAAACATATATATTATAATATATAACTATATATATTATTATATATATATATATATATAATATATATGATATATAATGCTTGATACTAATTAAGTTTTTATTTAAAAATTTTAATAAATTAATATGATAAAATAGATAACATATTCATAAAACATTTTGTAATATGTTACATGTCATTTTGAAATTTTAATGTAATTTATTTTATTCGTTAATTCTCATGTAAAAAACTGAAAATTTTGTTAGCATAAGAAATTATTGTAATTAAATGATATTATTATAATTATTGTAATTAAATATCGTAATTGAACAGATATAATTATTTATTTAATATTTTGGAATTTTCATATATTTAGTTGTAACGTTTACAATTGTCATAATTTTTTATAATTTAATTAAGAGTATCAAAAGATTTAATTGTACTGCAATAAATTTTAATGAAGTTATGTTATATTTTAATTTCATTAGTTAACCCATCATTGTAGTTTTTAACTTCTTTTAAATAAAAATAATTAATGCAATGGAATTACATTAACAATTTTATTAATAATTAATGTAGCTTTAACATACATTAGCCAATTTGCTTCTATGATTATATTTACAGATATAGATATAAATGGTCTTTGTTTTTAATAATAACCATTTTATCCGTTTAATTAAGTATTGTCTACAATCATAGCGCCTATTTAATAAGTTTAGGCAAGAAAAGAATAACAACAATTAACATAAATCATCACTCAACGAAAGGATGTGAGGTGATGAGTTGTGAACATAATAAATTAGATAAAATAAAATTCTAAATATAAATGAATAAAAAAATCCAATAATTTCCTTTGCATTCCGTCTTGCTAAAAGAAAATAAAGAATGACTTTTTCCATTGTTTATGTAATTCCAAGAAATGCAATTCAAGTCTTTTTTTTTTTTTTTAAGTTTTATTTTGTAAAGTCTTTTTTTAAGTTTTATTTTGTTTTTGTAATGGACCATAATACAATTCGTGTAATGGACCATAATACAATTCGTTTTACGTGTCTATCTCCATTCTTTCTTTAATTTTTTTTTGTAGTAATTGTCTCCTCTCACACTTATGGATAATTTTTAATTGTCTCCTCTCAAGACATAAATCATTCACCAGAAAGATATGATGAGTTGTGAACGTAATAAAATTAGATAAAATACAATATTAAATTCACAATGAATATAAAAAGATTCATGAATTCACATAAATCATCATTCTTTCTTTTATTCGGTCTTGATAAAAGAAAATAAAGAATGATTTCTTCCATTTTTTTATGTACTTTCAACAAATGCAATTTGAGTCTTTTGTTTTATTCATTCTTTCTCTAATTTCTTTTAGCAATTGTCTCCGTCCATGCTTATACCGAAATTTTAATATGACTTTTAATTATGTCATGGCAAACATAAATCATTATTCAACAAAAGGATGTGATGAGTTGTGAACGTAATAAAATTAGATAAGATCAAATACACAATGAATATAAAAGGATTCATTATTTTCTTCTCATTCAGTCTTAATAAAAGAAAATAAAGAATGACTTCTTCCTTTGTTTATGTAATTTCAAGAAATGTCATTCGAGTCTTTTTATTTATTTATTTATTTTGTCTATGCAACGAACCATAACATAATTTGTTTTATATGTCTATCTTCATTCTTTCTCTAATTTGTTTTAGTACTTTTGGTGATTTGTAATATAAAATAGAAGTTGTGAATAATAATGTTGCTAAATGTCTATTTAATAGACGTTAAATTTTAAAAATCTCTATCCAATACACTATTTTCATATCCTTTTTCATTCTCCTTTTTCTTTTCTTTGCTGGATCTACAATTTAACATAAAGCCAACCACTATAAAGCAATAAATGATCAAATTGTCTAAGAGACTCTTTAAAAATAAAAGGTGCGGTAGACAATGTCTATTTATTTTTTGAAACCTCAGCTTGATATAGCAAATAGATATTATCATTTGAGAGAATTTTTTAAAAATATATTTTCATTTTTCTGATGTGGCAATTATATAGGAGTAATACAAATTAGCATTGGAGATGCTTTAAGAATATTATCTAAAATCATATTATTTCTTTATTCTCAATAGATTACTAAGGTTTAAAAGTTAGCTACTACCTTTTTTTTTTTTTTTTTTTTTTTTTTTTTTTGAGTAAGGAAACGGGAATCGAACTTGAATCTATTGTCAGGTTATATATGGAATTACTATTAGGCTATGTCTTGGTGTGCAGTGAACTACTACCTAATATCTACTTGTTTGTATTACAAAACGTGAATCTATTACTTCTTGAATAAATATTTATTACTTCTTGAAACTATAAATGTGACAAGTATTTTGAAACAAACTATTTTCTTAAATGTGACAAGTATTATGGAACGGAGGTAGTAGGAAAAAAAGCCACAAAATTTTTAAAAAAATTATGCAATATTTAAAGTACATTTTCAATAATCAAAGAATATTTAAAGTACATTTTCAATAATCAAAGGCAGTTGGAAGGTTAAATGAACACAATTTCATTTTCACACAACTTTTCAAGTACAGGATAAAAAACGAATTTCTCTATACAGATAAGAGCGTCAACTTCATTTTTGCAATTGTTTGTATTACCTTCATTTCAACAAAACATTTAAAACCTAATTGAAGATTAAAATATAATTTAAGACATGCATTGATATTAGAGAAGGAACAAATTATATATTAGGGGTAAATTAAAAAAAAATGATAAAAAGTTGGTTAAACTACTTTCTTAATCTTAATAAAAAGAACAGAGGAAGTATTTTTCTCAATTTGCACATTTTCAACAGCGTCATGTACTTCAGTTATATTGGCATATAAAAACAGCCTTCATTTCCTCAACTCTCATGCACTATTCTCATTAATTTTATCAACCAAATTTTGCAATAATTCATTTACTGCATCCATTCTCAAAAACTTCAGCGAATAAATCAATGTTTACGAATCAACGACAGAATTTCCGCTGGAGGAGATGGATTTTGGGAGGTACAAATACCTGTTTTGAATGAAGAGGTAAAAATTGAAAATGACAAATTCGGAATTTCAAAATCAGGAGCTGTTGTTTTGAGGGAATTGAAATAGCATGCAAGAAATGAAAATAATGTCATAAAATGAAAATTAACGGATAGAGAAAAGGATAACAGCTTTGCATTGATAATCTAAGCACATTTGATGCATTACCTGTATTTTGTCTGCCATATTTTCATGTATTAATGCAGTAAAGAAAGCCAAATAAAAGACAAGATGGACTTTATACTTTGGTCTTGGTCCAAATCTAGTAAGTTTGTCTATTTATAAAGGATACCCAAAATAAAAATGAATGAGAACAAATAAGTAGACGTCAGATAGTTATTCATTAGTGGATTTGATTTCCTATATAATTATATACGGATTCACACTTCTCTGGTTGTAACAATGACTTTAACTAAACATTTTAGTATTTACTATAATATTAGAAAATAGTTATAATGTTGAATTAAGCAATAATAGTACTAATAATTTTATTTAGTACTTCAAAATTATTATTAGAAAGTTCTCGAATAAAGGTCACCATGACAATTGTTTCATAATCTTGGCCCGATTCATCTATCTGTGCCTTATCTCGTACCAATTTCTACATCCAGACATTAGACACAAAAAATGAATTTTCTCAACTAAATCCAATTTTAAAAGATTTAAAACATAAAATTCAGGGTATATATACATATTTGCCATAACTATGAATCAGTATTGATATTTTAAAAAAATTGCCTCAGTTATAAAAAGTTTTTTGTTTTCTATTTGAAATTACCAATATAGGTATTGTCGAAACTAATAGTAATAAATAATTATAAATGATCGATGAGTAATAGAAACTTGAAATTTCTTCATTAGAAATAGTATTGCATAAATTGAAGATCAATTATGCAAAATACACATAGTACATTAACACTCTTATTATCGCGAGTCATAAATTATGAGCAATAAGACTCATAATTAACCTCACCTTTCACACATAAAAGGAAAAAAAAAAAAAAAAACAACACCGTTTATTCCATCCAATAGAAATTACTTATACATAGAAAATATGCATATTTCAACCTTGAGTATTTCCTCCTTGGGTATTATCCTATCCTCAACCCTGAGTATTGTCACCACCTCCGCCTTGAGTGTTCCCTCCCTGAGTATTGCCACCACCTCCGCTTTGAGTGTTCCCTCCTTGGGTATTACCCCATCCTCCACCCTGAGTATTACCACACCTGAGTATTACCACCTGGGTATTACCACCACCACCTCCACCTTGAGTGTTTCCTCCCTGAGTATTACCCCATCCTCCTTGAGTGTTTCCTCCTTGAGTCGACATTGTTTCGTTCGGAGAGATGTTGAAACTTGGTTAGAATGTTTTGCCGAAATAAGTTTTGTGTTTTGGAAGTGAAGTGTGATTAACCAAAGAATTGTGAATCCTTATAAAGGCATATAGGAAATGAAAATTGTTATATTATTCCTTGCTGATGAAATGACAAGTATAGAAGGTGTAGTTAATTATTTTAGATAGACCAAGACCATAGAATGTCAACATTAAAATATAAATGAAAAGAAGTAGATAGGGAATTTGGGAAATACATATTTAATATAAGTAATCACTTTGGTCGGTAGCCATTAATAAAATAGGCAGTCAATGAAGAAAAAAATCAGAAAAAAAAAGACTGAGAAAAAGACTACATATTTTTAATGTGTTATCCACATGTAAAACGAGTTGTGTTATAATTCATTACATAAACAAAATAAATAAATAAATAAAGACTTGAATTGCACTCCTTGGTGTTAGGATGGATATGTTTGTAATTCAAATGTTAGCCGCCTTTGTTGAAAACAAATAAAAAAAATAATAGTTTTGCTCAATCCCACATCGGGGAGATGAGCAAAAGAGGAGGTGATAGGTTTGGCTATAAAAGGGAAGTCAAAGTTAGGTTTTCAAAAACACCCACCCCAAAAAAACCTGAAAACTTACTTAATGTTGTTTATATTAGATTTAGACGCAAGTCTCTGAAGTCCTTGAGTATAAATATTTGGGGTGTTTTGAGGAGGTGTCAGGTTTAGAAAACTTTTTTGTAATTGTGGTTGTAACAATTTGCCACATAGTGACATATTTTTCTGATTGTCGTTTGGCAACAGCCGTGGTTTTCTCCATTGGGGATTTTGAGTTTTCCACGTTAAACTATCGTGTTATTTATTCTCTTTAATTTCTCAGTCATTATTTTATTTTCTCATTTGTTCCTACTTGAAGCCGATCCGAAGGGCGAGAAAATAGTGATTTTCCCAATAAGTGGTATTAGAGCCTAGTTGTTAGGCGGAGCTTTTAGTGTTAAAATAATTTCTTGTAATTATAAGTATGCACTGTGGTTGCGGCTTAGTCTGATCGTCCACATCAGAAATACTGTTGTTAGAAATTATTTTATTTTAAAAGCAGGTGGAGTTTTGGAAGTCTTGAAGCGGGTAGAGCTTTGCTTTGGTGTGCTTGAGTACCGGTGGTGAAGGTCCTGACGATAATTATTGAAGTTATCCTGGTACAAAAGTTCTGATAGTATACCGTGCACATAACTTCTGTCTAGAAGGCCGGATTTTAAGTGGGACTGCTTGTGACCCCTCCGCCCAATTGGGATTTTATGTGGAATGTTAATACTGTCTAGGAGATCATTGTGGTCTTTCCTGAGTATTGCCGAATCGGTTTACTTCACTAATTATTGGGTTCATTGTTATAAGCACAAGTAAGCATGTCGCTATGAGAAGATGTTGAGATTGAAAATTTGACGGCGAGAAATTGGAATTTTGCACTGTGGCAAGTGCAAGTTCAAAGACGTGTTGATTCAGTCTGGACTGTATAAGGTTTGAAGGGTAACCAGTCAGCGAAAGATTCAGGGAAAAGACAGTAGCAGTGGACTTCAGAAAAAATCCAAGATTAGCGATGAAGAAATGCGGAGGGAGCTGGATATAAAGCGGCAAGTCCAAATTGGATGGGTTTATTATTGTGCCGAATACCTATGAAAATGTAACTATTTTAGTTCATATAATTTGGGTATTTTTGATGGGTTTGTTGGTCTATGTGATTAAATAAGATGCAGGTATTAGTTGACTCTATTTTATTTGCTTTCTTGGGATTAAAAATCACTAAGTCAGAGGATGAGGAGCTCTGATTCTTTTTGAAGATTTATCTCAAAGGTTTTGAAAGAATGAAGGATTCATTGGGATTTTATTTTGTTGGATTTTGATTTGAATTGTAAAATATATTTTTTCAGTTTCTTTGAAATAGTCTTCTCTTCTCTTCTATTAAAAGGGAGAATGGGCTATTAGTTGGGATATCAGAGTTTTGAGTTAATAATCTTTTCTTTAGTTGTAAGCTTGGAACATGACCATACGTGCTGATTCTTTCAATTCCAGCTTCAATTCCAGCTTAAGGTTTAATCAAGTGTTAGTTCTACCGAAGTGTTGTGAGAATTGTTCTTCTTTTACTCATTTAACTCTTCAATATTTGTTTATCTCTTGCAATTAATGGTTTAGATGGATATTGTTGTTCTATTTAATTAAGTAAATGGCCAGTTATTTGATTAATTTATAGTGACAGGTGCTAGTTAATATAATCAAATCCGTAATTGTTTGATTGAGTTAACAATTTGTAGCAATTAATATAGCTTGTTTAGAGCCAGATTTTCAAGTTATATTAAGGGGATAAACAATCTTCTTGAATAGACTACACATGTTGTTTATTAGATTGAATTGGGTCTTTCTTATTCTTAATGCTACCAATATATTTTAATTTTAGGCGCATGTCAAAATTAGTTATTGGTAAGGGATTAATCAAAGCGCGTTGTCTTGCTTATTCTGTTACTACGGAAAGACTAGGAAAAACTAGGTTGTTTAAGCATTTTTGGTAACCAGTAAACCAATTATTGATTATGTTAAATGAGGCAATTGGAATTTCAGTGATCAACACGAAGAACTAGTACAGATTGACCTTGGCTGGAAATATTTCTCCAATTGAATTTCCATTTTTAAATTACTATTTTACTATATTCAATAATTTTTCCATCCTCCCATTCATTAATTTCATTTTTATTTTCTTGGTTTTAAAATAATATTTTTTTAATCTCTAGGGCTCTTGTGGATTTTCGACTTGACTCACCATTTTTTCTTCAAGTTCTTTAAAATTTGGTTGAGATTATTAATTTTGGCGGATTGGACACCGGCCATCAAATTCGCATGTGTCTAGCAAAAAATGTTCTTGCTAATGTGCTTGGATGGCCACGACCCAAAAGAGATGTTGGGAGAAATGGAAGAATTGTACCAGGAAAAATATATCCAACAGGTTATATTTGAAGAGCATCTTTCATACATTGAAAATGGCGGAAGGTACATGGGGGTTGCAGATCACCTGAGTGGTCTAACACATCGTCTCTGAATTGGAAACTCTTGGTAGTGCTAATCGAAGATGAAGATAAAAGCTCTTCAATCACCTTGTCACTTCCTTCGACATATGAGCACATGAACCTTTCTGAAATATGGTGTAAGGGAAGTGGTGTATGCGGATGTGTTGAGTAAGCCCATTACGAGGAGAGAAGATGAATGAAATGAAAAATAATAAATCATATGAGGATTCAGCTTTATCTGATAAAAGAAAATAAAGAATGACTTCTTCCTTTGTTTATGTAATTTCAAGAAATGCCATTTGAGTCTTTTTTTTTATTTATTTTGTTTATGCAACGAACCATAACATAATTTGTTTTATATGTCTATCTTCATTCTTTCTTCTAATTTCTTTTAGCAATTGTCTACGCCCATGCTCATACCGGAATTTTTAATATGACTTAATTAGGTTATGACAAACATAAATCTATCATTCAACAAAAAGATGTGATGAGTTGTGAATCTAATAAAATTAGATAAATTAAAATAATAAATTCACAATAAATATAAAAAGATTCATTATTTACTTCCCATTCCGTCTTGATAAAAAAGAAAATAAAGAATGACTTCTTACATTGTTTATATAATTCCAAGCAATGCAATTCAAGTCCTTTTTTATTATTATTTTGTTTATGTAATGGTTCATAACACAACTCGTTTACTTGTCTATCTTCATTCTTTCTTTACTTTTTTTTTTTCGCAACTATATCTCCACCCCACACTTGTTCTGGAATGGTGTCAATTTAAAACTCTCACAATAGGAATAACTGTATATTTATCTCTATACTTTTATCAATATACAGTTCGAGCTATTTTATTTTTATATTTAATGTTGTATTAGAATTTTTTTATTCGTTCCTTATTATATTTTATCTACAAGTAACTACATCAATTTGCTTAATAGTATAATAATTTATTGATAAATTAAAAAAAATTCATAAAAGAAATAGAAGGCAATAAACTCATTTTCTTAATTAACTAAAAAAAATAAAAAAATATAAATATTACTTTTGCATATTAAGCGAATCTCCAAAACTAATGTGACTTGTAATATAGAATAGAATGTGTGACTAATAATGTTGCTAAATGTCTATTTGATAGACATTAAATTTTAAAAATCTCTCACCAATGTACTATTTTGATATCCTTTTCCATTCTCTTTTTTCTTTTCTTTGTTGGATCTACAATTTAACATAAAACCAACCACTATAAAGCAATAAATGATCAAATTGTTTAAGAGACATTTTAAAAATAAAAGGTGCGGTAGACAATGTCTATTTATTTTTTTGACACATCAACTTGACATAGCAAATAGATATTATCATTTGAGAGAATTTTTTAAAAATATATTTTCATTTTTCTGATGTGATAATTAGATAGGAGTAATACACATTAGCATCGGAGATGCTTTAAGAATATTATCTAAAATCATATTATTTCTTTATTCTCACGTTTATATGAAGTATAAATAAATAGATTACTAAGGTTAGTTGCAATGATATATTGGTCAAACTTTTATTTTATGATTTATGTCTTTTCTGAGTTAGTTGCATGAAATTATTGGGATTATTTTTAAGAAAGTTAATAGTAAAAAAAAAAATGAAAGTGTTGTTTCCATATCGTTTTTCCCTTGTTGTTTTTCTTTTCTTATCTAAATTGTCAAATAGGTGTTGTAAGTTGAAACACTCTTAAAATATTAAGGTGCTGAATGTGTAAGAAAAATATTTTAGGGTATGAGTCGGCTAAGAAAAATTAATTTTTAAAATTTTGACTTATCAATATAATTTTTAATGTAATTCATTAAATTAAATTAGTTTATTTGATAAATAGTTAAAACTACAATGGGTTAACTAATGAATTAAATAATTAACTAAATTCATTAAAATTTATTGATGTGGAATT